TAGATGGTCTTTATCTTTTTTTTTTTTTTTTTTTTTTTTTTTGAGACAGAGTCTCGCTTTGTTGCCCAGGCTAGAGTGAGTGCCGTGGCGTCAGCCTAACTTACAGCAACCTCAAACTCCTGGGCTCAAGCGATCCTTCTGCCTCAGCCTCCCGAGTAGCTGGGACTACAGGCATGCGCCACCATGCCTGGCTAATTTTTTCTATGGATTTTTAATTGTCCGATTAATTTCTTTCTATTTTTAGTAGAAACGGGGTCTCGCTCTTGCTCAGGTTTGTCTCGAACTCCTGAGCTCAAACGATCTGCCCACCTCGGCCTCCCAGAGAGCTAGGATTACAGGCGTGAGCCACCGCGCCCGGCCATAAGGTAGATGGTCTTTAAAGTTTCTTCAGCTCAACATTCTAGGACTCTATTACTCTTTTCTTCTTTTCTTCCTTTCTACCTGTTATTCTTTTGTTTCCTTCTTTCTCAACTTCATCTACTATTTATAAATGGCTAGTGCCTTAGATCTAAATCCTGTCCTTGCAGGGCTTTACCCTTGTAGAGGACGTAAAGAGAATTTGTAAACTTGAAAGTCTTTTCTAATTAGATTTCCCTCTCCCTGCTGTCTCATTAATTAACTCTTACAGATCCTACTTGTAAAATGGATTCCCATCCCTCCTCTTTCCATTCCTTCTGTATTATTTTCCTTATAATAATAACCTTTTATTGTAGTTGTTTTTTTGGTCAGTGTCCCTGTCTTCTGTTCTGTACTTCTTCCCAATCCAACATAGAAATTACCTCTCAAGTTTTCCTTTTTTAATAATCAGAGTGAAATTGATTTGGAAGGAGTATACAGTCCTATGAATTTTGAAATTTTAGTAGATTTATGTAACCATGTCCACAATCAGAATACAGAATAGCTCTATCACCTCTAACCCCCAAGGTGATGATATTAGGGGGTAGCACCTTTGAGAGGTGATTACGTCATGAGGGTGGATCCCCATGATTAGGTTTAGTGCCCTTACAAAAGTTTCCCCAGAGAGTTGGTCTCCCTCTTCCACCATGTGAAGACACAATAAGAAGGTACCTTCTGTGAATCAGAAAGCAGGTCCTCACCAGGCACCAAATCTGTTGACATCTTGATCTGGGACTTCCCAGCCTCCAGAACTGTGATAAATAAATTTCTGTTGTTTATAACCTACCCAGTTTATGGTATTTTGTTACAGCAGCCTGAAGGGACTAGATACTGGCTTCTTTCACTCAGCGTAAAGCCATTGAGATTCATCCAAGTTGTTCAGTGTATTAATACTTTGTTCCTTTTTTTTATTTTTGGTAGCATTCTGTTGTATGGATGTACTGTAGTTTATTTACCCATTGAAGGATATTTTGGTTATTTCCATTTTTTGATGATCACGAATAAACGTTTATGTACAGAATTTTGAGTAAGCATCAGTTTTTATCTCTCTAGAGGAAATACCCAGGAGTGGGATTGGATCATATGATATTGTATCTTTAACTTTTTAAAAAACTATCAAACTGTTTCCACAGTGGCTGTACTATTTTGCATTCCACTAGAAATGTGTGAGAACAGTAGTTGTTCTGCATCCTTGCTACCACTTGGTATCGTCAGTGTTTTTTATTTTAACCATTCTAATAGGTGTGAGTGATACCTCATGATGGTTTTAATTTGCATTTCTCTAATGACTAATGGTGTTGAACACCTTTCGTGTGCTTATTTGCCACTGTGTTGTCAAGAACTGAGAAGGACCTGAGTTATTATCCTACTTAGAAGTAGCAATTAGTCTACCATAGTTTCATGGATACTGGCCAAAGACATGAGACTCGATTGGAGACAAAGGACTCTATTATTCACAGGACATCAGCAGAACAAGCTTCATGTTCACATGGACCACCTTTGCCCCACAAATGCCATGCGAGCAATGTCGATCTAAGGAATCCAAGTTCAGGAAACCCAAATATCATAATCGGTGGCAAACAAACCTGCCAGACCTTTGATGTGGATGGAAACATATTTATTGTACTAGACAGGAAACAAACTTGTCCTCTGCTCTGGAAGGAAATAACATCTTTGTCTTGTAAGGATGTTCAATATACACACAACCTTGAGGAGACAGTCTGTAGCAAAGGCTTCTCTTACAGAAATGTGGGCTACCAATGTGTATATCTTCTTTGGTAAACTATCTGTTCAAGTTTTTTCTCCAGTTTTTAATTGGGTGGTTTGTTTTCTTAAAATTGAGTTTTGAGAGTTCTTTATATCTGGAGATGTAAGTTCTTTGTCAAAGATGTGATTTGCGTGTATTTTCTACTAGTCTGTACCTTGTCCATTCATTTTCTTAACAGTGTCATAACAGCAACACAGTTTTTTGTTTTGTTGTCAAGTTCAGGATGCAAGTTCTGTGGGCTGTGGTTCCAATGTCAGTTCATTTTCAAAGCTTTTGCAGTGCTGTTTCCACCTGTTTCATGCTCAGACATGCACTGGTCTGAGAGCTGCACAGTGGTCTCTCAGTTTCAATTTAAAAATCTTTGGTACTGTATAACATCAGACCATGCATGCACAGCTTAGGGTTGGACCCAGAAATTGCTTTCTTGAGTCCTCATTCTCAGCAATTTCTCTTTTTGTTCCCTAGATGCTCATCTTTTCTTTCCTGTGTCCGGAAAACTGTGCATTTAGTTACCTCACTTTGCGCTGTATTAATATTTCCATCACTGTACATTTGAGGCCAAGCAATGGGAGGATAGAGAGTGGGGAAAATCGATAGTTCTCTTTGCTCAGAGTTTGGCACCTCGGTCTCTCACTCAGCCTTTGCTGTAGACACACCACATGATTGCTTGGGCACTGTGTCTCAAGAGAAGGGGGAAAGGCAGTAAAATGGAAGAATCCCCATATTCTCTCTGAGTGTTAGGAATTCCCTTTTCTCATGCCTTGAGCCTGAACTAGAGGAACTCTCTCTGTTCCCTGATACCCATTTCTGGGTTGATCTGGTGATTCTGGAGGGAAAAAAATAATCTCAGTGAGGGTTCAGTGATGCTTTGAATTCTGGTCTTCTTCCCTAGTTCTCTTTGTTGCTTTTCAGGATCTTCAAAAGTGGTGCTCAATGCATACTGTCCAGGTTTTATAGTTGGACGAAATCTGTAAAGTTTCTCTCCCTGACAACTGCAGCCACTGATGTCTCTACTCAGTTTTTCTTCCTTGTTATTATTTTATGCCAAACTTCCTTCTAGGGGTCACCCCTGTGTCTGCATGCCTTAATGTTCAGCCAGAGATTATTGTTTATTCGAAGATCGAGATTATCCTCAAACACCTCTAGCCAGTTAGGCTTCCACTCTGACCAGGAGAGCCTGTGCTACACACAGAGGAGACCCGAGAGACCCCTGCAAAAAATGGGGGTGGGTGAGGATGCTGAAGTTTTGAGTGGATTCATTGGCATGAACATAAACCCATCAGAAGAAAGTAGAAGTTTTATCCATCATTATAGTTGCTTTTGGAGGAGAGGATTTATTGTCCTCTTCACTCTGTCAGGCTAGAAGACAGAACTCCATCTGTCAAGTTTTATGGCTTTAAAATGGAAATCTTATCATGCTTTCCCCCTTTCAGGAGCTTTCAGTGGGGCTTCAATCCAGACTCTGTAGCCTGGAGTTTTAGTAATCCGTCATAATTTGACTTTGCACCTAACTTCTTCAGTTTACCTCATGTTTATACCACATCATTCATGTTCTAGTTTGCTTTCCTGTCTCATAGTTTTTTGTGAAAGATGTGCTTCCTATCCAGAATGTCCTCCCTCTTCACGTTGTCTTTCCGCAACCTAGGTGCAACTCGAGGCTCTTTAATGTCTACTGCCACCACCCCCAGGTGGTTTCTCCGTACTGCCTAAGTCAGCATGACCATGCCTTCTCCCCTCCCCAGCTTCTTAAGTACTTTCCCTTTTTCTTCATTTTTCAGTCTGCCTGTGATTCTCGTTATGAGCTTCATGAGGGCAAGAACATTTTCCATCAGTTGCATCACCAGTGGCGTTAGCTCAATTCTGTGCACACAGTTGGCACTTAGTAAATGTTCAAGTTGAATTAATGTTAGGATCCCCAAGATGTAGGACTTAATTCAGTCTGCACATTTGAGTTTTTTGAATGATCACTATAGAGTGCTGCTTTTTTCTGTGCTTGTTTGGCAGTTTATGTAGAAAAGAATGAGGATCATGTAGTTTCAGTTTGAATGGAAATTGTTGCATAGCAATTTACCGTACAATTGTGATGCTATGAACAAATAAGTTTAAATATGATATAGTAGAAAAGAAAACTGACTTTGCATTATGAATTCAAATTTTAGCTCCAACATGTGTGATCTTAGACACAAACCTGACCTCTTTTTGTTTTTTCCCTCAACTGTGAAATGGGGATACTAATTCACTAGTTCTTTTTTTTTTTTTAAAGAGGCAGAGTCCTGCTCTGTCACCCAGGCTGGAGTGCAATGGTTCAATCATAGCTCACTGCAGCCTCAAACTCCTGGGCTCAAGCCATCTTCCTGCCTCAGCCTCCCAAGTGGCTGAGATTATAGGTGCAAACTACTATGCCCAGCTCATTGAGTATCTTTTCATATGTTTGTTGGCCATTTGTAGGTCTTTGGAGAATTATCTATGCAAGTCCTTTGCCCATTTTTAAATTGGATTATTTGGGTTTTGTGGTTTTTTATAGTTTCTGGTCTTACATTTAGGTCTTCAATATTGGCCCTTAAAAAAAGTGTTTTTTGTATTTTAAGCAGGGAATAAGTTTTTTTCTTTAATATGATTATGTCAGGAATTTGCTGTATTTACCTTTTTTTCTTCTTTCTTCCTTCCTTCTCTCTCTCCTTCCCTCTTTTCCTTCCTCCCTCTCCTTCATTCTTCTCTCTCTTATAGCTTGAAGATAATGGACTCACTCATTTTTTAGTTCGTAATTACTATGCTTTTGGTTAGAATGATAGTGAATTCATTTTCAAGAACACTTTCTTGTTTGTTTCTTGGTTAGCAGGAAGAAGATGAGCCTTAAGTCTGAACGCCGAGGAATTCATGTGGATCAATCGGAGCTCCTGTGCAAGAAAGGATGTGGTTACTACGGCAACCCTGCTTGGCAGGGTTTCTGCTCCAAGTGCTGGAGGGAGGAGTACCACAAAGCCAGGCAGAAGCAGATTCAAGAGGATTGGGAACTGGCAGAGCGGTAAAAGGACTTAACTAGGGATGATTTAACAGTGGCATAATTGAATAAATAGCCCTGTCATTGTCCAAATACATTTTTCTTTTCTGTTTTGAGCTGTCAGTAAGTCAGTTTAATATTAAGGATTTTTTTTTCTCTTCTTCTCAGTCCACATTTAATGAATAGTTTTCAGTGATTTCTTCATTTTGTGTTTATCTTGTGATTATTTTATGTTTGGGTTATGTTAGTCTTAGTTCTCAAATTTAGATAATAAGCCCCTTAGAGTAGAAGAATGGAAGAGGTAAGCATACTTCATGGTGAAGATTAAATGAGGTAGTATATATGATATAACTAGTTCAGGCCTTGCATATGCCTCTAATCAAGCATTATTTCCCTCATTCTTTTTCGTTTTTGACAATTATAGTTGGAGACTATATTATTAATTAATTAAATGAGGTTTCACTCTGTTGCCTGGTGCAGTGGCTATTCACAGATGCAACTATAGTGCACTGCAGCCTCAAACTCTTGGCTTCAAGCCATCCTCCTAGCCCAGAATCTTAAGTAGCTGAGACTGTATGCACATTCCACTGTGACCAGCCTAATACCTCCACCTGTAATTTTTGTTTCTATTTCTTACTGCTTCCAGTTGTGACCTCACTTGAGATTTCTACATCAGTATTTTTCACATTTGAACAGGCATCAGAATCACCTGGAAAGCTCATAAAAACAGTGATTGCTGGACCTCACCCTCAGAGTCTCTGATTTTAGTAGCTTGAGAGTGGGACCAGAGAATTTGCATTTCTAACAAGTTCCCAGGTGATGCTGATGCTGCTGTCTGGGAAATCACACTTTGAGAACCATTGTTTTATAGGTAGTGCTTAAGATTTATTACAGATACTTCAAATGCGGTTGATCTGAAGCCAAATTTATTGCTTTTATTTTATTCTTTCCACTCCCAACATTGTCCTCCTCACCCTTCTGCTATATTAATTAATGGCATCACTGTTTATCGAGTTAGCTAAAAAACCTTGGACTCACTCTTAATTTCACCTTTACCTCCCTTGTCACCTAAACTGTTTGACCAAGTTCTACTTATTCTAGCTTAGAAATGTCTTTTGAATTTCATGCTTTCTACTCCTATTTTCCGAGTACTTATTTTCTTTCACTTAAACCTTTGTAGTATACTTTTAATTATGGTCTATGTCTCTCATCTCTCTGTCCCTCAAGTTGTTCACACAGCTATCTGCATTATCTTTCTAAAGCACAGATCCCATAATGGTAACTTCTTGTATTCAGAGTCTTTCTTGTTTCCCCACCACATGATGAAATCCAGAATAGCGGCCTTAGTGGTCAGGGTCCTTCTGGTGCCTCCTTCAATGTTCAGTTCATCACACCATCAGTGCTCTGGCTACACTGAACTTGTTCTAGGACAAACCACACACTTTCACATTTGTAGTTCCCTCTTCCTGGAATGTCCTTTCACTTAGTCGAATCCTATTCATCTTCTAGAACCCGACCCAAATGTCACCGTTGTAAAGCCTTCTCAGACTCCTGCAGCAGATTTATTTGTTCTTTCCTGTGTTTTTGTAGCACTTGATTTTTACTCTCTACTATAGGAACTGTCCCATTATGTGTTAATTATTTACTTATCTCCTTCTCCGTTCCAACCTTGAGCTTATTAGGGAAAAGGGCTAGACTTTATCTCTTTCATGTAGCCCTAGCGTGATTGCTGAGTGAGCGTGATCTGTGGAGAGGGTCCTCTTTGGAGTCTGTCATAGCACATAAAACAGTTTTATCTGTAGTTATCCATCAGAGACCTCAGTCCTATTCGATATATTTAGCCTCTAGTTCTAAAATTTTAGATCCTCCTCAATTAATAACCTTTGCATACAATGAAACCTTGGAGCATTCTTATTCTTTCTTAAATTACAGGCTTCAGCGGGAGGAGGAGGAAGCCTTTGCCAGCAGTCAGAGCAACCAAGGAGCCCAGTCCCTCACATTTTCCAAGTTTGAAGAAAAGAAAACCAATGAGAAGACCCGCAAGGTTACCACAGTGAAGAAGTTCTTCAGTGCTTCCTCCAGGGTTGGATCAAAGAAGGGTAATTTTCTGATACTCTTTTTTTCCTTCTGTGTCTGAGTGAGATACAGAGTAGATCCATAGTGGGTGTGGGCTCAGCTGTCTAGTTTCTGTAAGCTTTTACGGAATACCAACCCAGATTTGAGACCAAAATTAAATTCGAGGGTCAGACAATATATGAAACCAGTACTCTCTTTGGTTGAAGGACATTGTGTTTTAGAGACATTTGTTTATAGGAGGAATGAAGAGAGTTAAAATATGTAGCTTTATCTATAAAATTCATTCCCATCCAAATGATTGTCTCTTTGGGAGTTTTTTGTGCCTTTATTTTTTTGGAGCCTGCTTTGTTCTCCTTTGTATAATACCCCTCACTGTCCACAGCTTATCAAAAATGGCTGTTTCTAGACTTGAAAGTCATCTGAGAGAGATTTTTCTCTCTAAGAGCTTGTTTGAGAGACAGCTTGTGTCTTGAGGAAATATATAGAGAACATATAGGAAAGGCTCACTTTGGGATCTTAGAAGGACAAAAGTAACCAGTATTAAGTATTTTCTAGTGCATGGATTCAAACACAGATGATCTTATTCATCCGACTTAACATGCCGTATAACCAGCAAGAGGATTGTCATTACAGTCACAATTGTTCTTCCAGTGAGGAGACAAGCTAGCTGAAGTGGCCAAGCATGAAGCAAGAAAGAATCTCTGTTGTTAGGCCTCAGTCTTGGAACCCTTTTATTGGTACTCAGATTTATGTAGTAAATTTGAAATGGCAAGAGAGACTTGGAACCAACGCCGATGCTTTCAGAAGTCCTGTTCTCTTGGAGCCCCCTCTCTTACCCACCCTGGGGTAATTGTGATGAGGTTTTTGGTCTGCCAAAAGACAGGGGAATGAATAATAACACAGTATTACCTCTTAAGATCCTTGCTGGTCTTCTAGATTTTAGTGACTTTTGCTGTTTTCTTTTGTTTTATTAAAAGGAAAGGTTGCTTATTACCCAAACACAACATTTCTCTTTAAGAAATGCATTCTTTTAAACAAAAAACACAGTGTTTGTCTTTAAGAAATGCACGCCTTGAAATAATCTTTTTGTTCACATGATGATTTTGAAATTGTTTCTTGGTTGGCTTCCAGTCATAGCAGTTTTGTCTGTACTAAATAGAAGGGGAATAATCAGTACCTGCCTGAGATTAAATAAGAATGTCTTTGGCCCATGATTTATTTATTAGGAGGTAGTGTGGCAGGGTGCTTAGTAGGGTATCTTTGGAGTCACTCCTGGTTTGAGTCCCAGCTTTGTCATTTCCAACTGTGTGACCTTGGGCAAGCTAATTTCTCTGAGCCCTATCTATAGGGAGGGACAAGTAATACCTATCAGAGGCATGTGATGAGGATCACATGAGTTGATGTGTGTAAAGAGCTCAGCACAGTGCCTGACACACATAGTGTTAGCTATTTTAAAATGCAGGTTATGGCTGGGTGCAGTGGGTCATGCCTGTAATCCTGGCACTCTGGAAGGCTGAGGCGGGAGGATCCCTTGAGCTCATGAGTTTGAGACCAGCCTGAGCAAGAGTGAGGCTCCATCTCTACTAAAAATAAAAAAATTAGCTGGGTGTTGAAGCAGGCACCTGCAGTCCCAGCTACTTGGGAGGGTGAGGCAGGAGGATCACTTGAGCCCGGGAGTTTGAGGTTGCAGTGAGCTATGATGATGCCACTGCACTCTACCCAGAGCAACAGAGCGAGACTCTGTCTCAAAAAAAAAAAAAAAAAAATTAAAATGCAGGTTATTCTTCCAATAGAATAATCTCTGCTGGCAAAGGAGCTTAAGGGCACTGGTCAAGGCCATTCATTCCTATTTAGCCTAAATTCTGTTTCCTGCTTTGGGAAAGTCACCATTAACCTTATGAATTTATGATGTATAGTGAAATGTTACATGTTTATGCCAACAGATGAAATAATAAAAAAATTATAAAATTAGCTGCTCTAACTGCAATATGAAAGTCTGTAAAGGTTGACGGATTTACCCAAGGTCGTATAATGAGTTTGGTATATTAGAACTCGGGTCTCCTAACTCCTGGTTCAGTTTTTTTCCATTTTTCAGTTTTTTCCCATTGTATCCCTTTACCTTAAATATGTATATACCTCAGCCAGTTTATTTATATATAATTATATATATATACACACACAATAAATACTCAATATATGTATATTAAATGAGGTTTCTATTACTTAAGTACTTAATAGTCATGTACATTCTCTGACTCTCTTTAGTGGTTTTTAAAAGCCATATCCTAAAAGCATCCGTACAGTGTGGATTATATTATGGAAAAGATTTATAATCCAATACAGATGTATTAATTACAAATAGAGACATGGTAACTATCAAATGGCAGAGGGAGGATAGACATCATGTGCCTCCAAATATGATGCTTTGAGAACACAACATCATTTATGAAATATTGAAGCTGAAAATTTATTACTCGAAGCCAGTCATGAGGAAACAGCAGGAAAATCCTGATTCAGGGGTATTCAATAAAATAGCTGGACTGAATTCAAAAGTGTCATAACATTGGAAAAAATGGAAGGCTGGGGGACGTTTCCAAGTTAAAGGAGACCAAAGATTTATAACCACTAAAGGCAATGTGTGACCCTGACTTGGCTCCTATACCAGAAAAACAGCCCCAACGATTTTTGAACAATTGACAGAATTGGAATATGGATTTTAAATTAAGTAAAAGTATTGTGTCAATGTAAATTTTCCTGAATTTGATAACTATGCAGCAGTTATATAAAAGAATATCCTTGTTATTAAGAAATATTGATATTAAGGGATAAAGAGCATGCTATATGCAATGTACTCTGAAAAGGTTTAGAAAAAATAATACAGACGTGTAGCAAAATGTTAAAATTTTGTGCATCTGGATTAAGGGTATAAAGGAACTCTGTAATAATCTTGCAGCTTTTCTATAAGTTGGAAGTTACTTCAAAATAAAATTTAAAAAATCGAAACTATAATCTTCTAAAATTCAGTGCTATCCTCAAGAGCTAAATTTCAGATATTAATTAAATAGAAGCGTGGTGTTAGTTATGTCCTTTGAAAAATTGATAATGAATTATTACTTTAATCATTAGGGCCTTTGGCACTTATATAAACTGAGGTAATTTACAATTTCCCAAGCTGAATTTGGAACTGATTTCATACTCACTGCTGTTTTTGCAATTGTTTCTTCAGTAAGCTCTGCTTGGTTGTATTTTTGTTTTTACTCTGAACCTTATCTCATAAAATCACCTTTTATAATGTGTCAAATACAGTGTACTTGGAACGAGATCTGTTTCTGACCTTCATTGCCTAGGACTGTGAGAGGCTTTTTCCCTGACACCAAATATGTGGTGTCTTTTATTCTCCAACACCAACTGGCTGTCCACCAGATCAATCCTGTTCTGACACTATCAGGAGTTAGACCTACAGGTTAAGGGCTCGGTGTCACAAGACTGCCCCCACCAGTGGCACCCCATGGGGGGAGCACCTGTACCTCTTACCCACTGGCTAGAGACGGCGGAGGGGGGGGTTCCCACACCCACTTTCCTCACATTTGGTAATTTGCTACAATGACTCACAGAACTCAGGAAACACTTTACTTATTGTTGCTGGTTTATTATGAAGGATACACTCAGGAACAGCCAAATGAAGGGATGCATAGGACAAGCAAAGTAGGAGAGGGGCCATGGAGCTTCCACACCCTCTCCAGGGTGCCGTCCTCACACCTCTATGTGTTCACCACCCTGGAAGCTCCCTGAGCCTTGTCATTGTGGGTTTTTATGGATGTTTCATTGTGTAGGTGTGATTGATAGTTCATTAGCCATTGGTGGTTGACAGTCTCCAGCCTCTCCTCTTCCTTAGAGGTCGAGGGGGCAGAGCTGAAAGTTCTAACCCTCTAATAACATGGTTGGTTCCTCTGGCAGCCAATCCACATCCTCAAGGGCCCACTAGAGCCACCTCATTAGCATAAGCTCAGGTATGATTGGAAGGGGCTCATTGTGAATAATAAAAGGCACTCCTGCCGGGCGGTGGCTCACGCCTGTAATCCTAGCTCTCTGGGAGGCCGAGGCGGGCAGATTGTTTGAGCTCAGGAGTTCGAAACCAGCCTGAGCAAGAGCGAGACCCCGTCTCTACTAAAATTAGAAAGAAATTAATTGGACAACTAAAAATACATAGAAAAAATTAGCTGGGCATGGTGGCGCATGCCTGTAGTCCCAGTTACCCGGGAGGCTGAGGCAGGAGAATCGCTTGAGCCCAGGAGTTTGAGGTTGCTGTGAGCTAGGACTCTGTCTCAAAAAAAAAAAAAAAAAAAAAGCACTCCTGTCACTCAGGAAATTCCAAGGGTTTTAGGATTTAGGAGCTCTGTGCCAGGATCCTAGGGGCAAAGACCAAATTTGTATTTCTTATACTACTTATACTGTAACAAGAGTCAGAAGAATTGAGAAAATCAGAAGAGCTATAATATTCTATTGGGCTGCCCCCTTTTTTGTTTAGATGGTCTGAGAAATATGCGATGTTTTTGGTAAACTTTTTAAAATTGAGATATATGTGTTTTTACTAGACTAGAAATGGTGTCAATCATCTTTACTATTCTTTTTTAATTTGACATTGGATCCTGTTCTTTTTGAATATTGACCTTTCAGGTTATCTTGACTCTTTCTCAAACTATTGTTCAAATAAACTTACTTGTGAAGGTTTTGCTTTCTCAGACTAAATTTGAATATTAAAGATTTAACTTGATTTAATATGTGATCAGCCTTTCAGACAGCCTTACATAGTAGGTGCTCAGTTGATACTCATTGGTTGATTTAAGTAGGAATAATTAGATGCCGTAATAATAAGTGGACATTATGTGGTTGTGAAGAACTTTTTGGCTTGGGAATCAAACCTAGATTCAAATCCCAGCTCTCCCTCTTACTAGCATGTGATTTTGGCCGTATAAGTGACTTAACCTCTTTGTTGATGTGTAAAATAATACCACCTACCTAA